TTCCTGCGACCATTCCTACCAAGCCCACTTCTGAGTCCAGTGCCTCTATCGAAAACAACCTCCCTTCGTTCAGACATCTTTCTACCGTGCACACTTTGCGTTCGTGGCTTCTTCACGCTATGACCACGTTTTGGCTCATCATTCTCCTCTGCAGCACAGTCAATGCTCTACATATCACTATACGCATCTTGGAGAGGAAGATTAGAAGCTCGAGATGCCATTGACACGCGCAGCTTGGCTGCGACGAGCCAGCGTTGAACGCGAGAGCCTTGGATCAGCGAGGTTCAGGATCTGCATTGGCTAGCACGGGATTCCGTAGAGGGAAGAGAACACCACACTGCAATTGGCCGTAGTCAAATTCCTGCCAACGACGACTATCAACCTCTCGAAACGGATCGAGGGCTGCTATTGTGCGCCGGCAGCTTTGGCTGCTATCAGGAGACACTCCGCGAGGGCGGTACAGGAGTCCGCGAAAAGGCCTTCACCTTCTTCAACTCTCTGATCTCTTTTCGCACAGACACATAAGCCGTTTTTGATGCTTACACAGTGTATATTAAACCCTGGCCTACAGATATACATGCCAAACACAATACACGTCATTCAACGACCGACCCACACACTTGGGCACGCTCTCCATCTCCAATAACAGAGGTTAGGTAATCCAGAGCCGGCTTTCCAACCCACTTAGAACCCCTGTTGGTGATGACACTGAAGCCAATGTTTGCTCCAAACCATGGATGGAGCAACTCTGTCAACTTAAGGTTTTTCTGGGCTAAGTACTCCCGTACTAAGCCAGACTGTGTTGGTGCTTAGATATCAAACGTCCGTGCGGAAAGAGAGAAGTGTGTTGCATATGAGATGAATCCCTTTTCGCTGACCCCTGTATGTAAACGACCTGACTGGTGTCTGTTGCAGTTCAAGCATTCCGACAGGTTTTCGACAATAGTCGTCATCCTGGACGACTGTGCGGTATGGGTTGCGCTGTCCCTCAGATGGTCGAGAATGAGCCAAGATCGCGAAGCAAAGCACTGCAAGAGTATGGAGCGATGAGCAATCATTTCCTAAAACAAGGACGTCGACTTCCGACAAAGCCGCGGTCCACGAGTCATGAGATAGCTCAATCAATAAATA